AATGTGACATGTTGATATCGCATGTGCTGAGAATATTGTGGGATATTTGAGAACTTTCGAAAAAAACAACCTCTTCCCTATATTCGTGTAAAATAGAACAATTAACCGGGGTACAATGATGCCTATTTTTTACATTATTCGAGTGCCAACACCTGCATGTGCCGGAAAAAGTGCTGAGCTAAGAGGGAACATTAAGATCGCTTGTAAGTGCTGGCCACCAATCCTCGCATTACAGGAGAAGCAGCTAACTCTACAGACGGCAAGTAGCCCCCTACTGTGACCCAACAAGGTAGCCGATTAACAAGTGCCGGGGTCATCAGAAAGCCGATAAAGGGTGGTTATTATTTAGGAGTAGTAAGCGTAGTGCCACAGAGAAATTGCCAGCTGCATCGATAACAGGCACACCCGTTAGGCCTAACACGTACGTGAAACATCTCTTCGAAGGCCATAAGAGTGGCTGTACTCGAAGAGGCCTATTTCTATTTGAAGGGGCTGTTTGTTTTTTTAATTTATAATTTATTTTATGAGGGCTATAGGGTTATTTATAGGGGCTATAGGGTTATTTATAGGAGGCTTATTTATGCCTATTTGGTTCAGTATGAGTTTATCGGTGGGTGCCAGTCAAGAACACAATCAGCCTGAATTGTAACGATGCAAGAGGAAGAGAATCAAAACAGTACATACATCCGGATCGAGGTCACTGTTCAGATCTTCCAGCTCTTCGGCCGAGAGTTTCGAGAGCAGATTCTCCAGATCAGTGTCATCGATGTCGCGCAATTCCTTGCCATACAGTTTCGGCGCAGCGGTGCCCACTTTTGTACGAGCCGCCGGTGCAATAATATTTGTTTCCTCCGAGTAATAGCTGTAAGCAGATTGGAACATCCGCGAAACCATGATACTCTCTCTCGAGAGATTCAGGTCAGGGAGAGCTGTGATGAAGAAGGGTCCAGAGGGTGAACGAATAATTCTGAGGAGCTGCTACTGCTGCAGCAGCACTAGTCGAAAGAGGAAGCGCTTCACTGTGAGGAAGAGGAGGAGGAGGTAGTAGTTCTGCCCGCACAAATCGATGCTTAAACAGATGGAGGGATGAAAAAAATGAGGGAAGGGCCAACAACGGGGCGATCCGGGAAAACTATGTCAATGGACCACCACCACCACACACACACAGCACACTCTCCTCCTACAGCTAATTTGCGAGTAGTGTACACGAGCTGAACATATGTGTGTATGTGTGTGACCTGAAATTTGCACTACACATAAACAAACACCCGGGAAAATGTGTGAAATGTAAACAAAAATGAACTTTTTGTGGATTTTGAAGGGTTCTATCTGGATAAAGCACAAAGCGCCCCATTTACGCAATAATCCTCCAAAAAGACCACCCTCAAAAATGACCAGTAGCCAGCTGATTTCACTCAACTAGACCTGATTTTAAGTTTTCAAGAACTCATTCAACAAGATCTGATTTCAACATTCAACAAGTTTAGAAGCCAGCTGATCCCCAGCTGGTGAATATTTATCATTTCGTATTCAACAAATACCCAAAATGAATTGCGAAAAATTACAATTCAATCTGTAAAAAGAGCTGAGTCTTAGAAAATCCTTTTTGCACTCAACTGGAAACAAAAAGCCTGGGAATCAAACAATCGCATGTGAGAAGCGATGAAAAAAAGGGGCCAGTAATTTAAAAATTTTGAGAACACAGGCGGTGTGCTTTTCGAGGGCAAAAAGACAAGAGTGAAATAGGTGCTGGAAAACTTTGAGGATTAAGTTTTCCAAGTATATATATAGCCCTAGTCATCCTGTGTTTTTTGTGTGGATTTGTTTTTTTAGAGTTTCTTTCAAGTATATATAGCTCCAGTCACACTGTGATTTTTTTTTTTTTTTGTTTGGATGTATTTTTTAGAGTTTCTTCCAAGTATATACAGCTCTAGTCACTCTGTGTTTTTTTTTGTTTGGATTTGTTTTTTTTTAGAGTTTTTTGGTGCAAAACTGCTATGGCCTTCGCGATATTCTCCAGCAATGTTGGGCTTGCACATGCATGCTATGTAAACGGTAAAGAGTTTAGGTTTAAGCAAAAAAAAAAACTTACTTGCTAGACATTTTTAGCGCAGCAATAAATAGTAGCAAATTTTAATCAATCAAAATTATAACAGAAGCGAAGCAGGCAGTATTTTCCTCCCACTGGAATTCCCGAGTGTCCTCCTTTTTTTTTCCAGTAGTTACCAAAAGTTTGAGTGTGTGCCTATAAAAAATTTGCGTATTTAGAACCGGAAAAAAAAAACATCCCGTGGAAAATTGCGGAAACGATAAAAACAGTACAAAAAATATGAAAAGACGAAAAATTTGTCCAATCATGGTGTAAAAATTCGTGAGTGGCTCTCATGACTATAAAATATGGTGGTCGAACAGTCAGACGAGCCAGAATCTCTCGGAATCTCTGAGAATCTCTCTCGGACGAGCCAGAATCAACGGGAAATCACAAATCATCACGATAAGTGACATAAATCAACGGGAATTTAGTATCAACGGAAAATGGCTGGGATCACAGGAACACTTGGACTCACCGTATGGATGTTATCGAGGACCAGCAAGAATCGGGACACTACATTTTTGGGGGTGACAGCAACGCAACTAAGCAAATGAGGACAAACAGAAACATGAGAGAAGTGAGCAGGAGAGAACATGCTATAAGATTATCATTACAAAAAGTGCACCAAAAATGGCTCGTCTCCTCTCAACAAGAAACAGCTTCCCAAAGTGCCAACTGAGAAAGAGGCCGAATGTTTGGGAAACGAAAAACATTTTGCACTGGAACTCGTTTTTTGACAAATAACGAAGCGATGAAATCACACTTTCCCGCACATACACACATACGTACACACACACACACATGCACACACACACATACTCATACACACGAACCATACATAGTGTTTCAAGCAATTTTTCAAAAAAGCGAGCAGACAGGCAACAACGAGCAGTTTTCACAAACACACTCCTAGGATGGAATGGCCAGCAAGAAACTGAGAAACGCATTAGCAAAAATGAAATAGCCAAAAAAAAAAACTACTTTTGCACAATTTTTCTTATTTTTTCGCTTCTGAAGACCTAAATTTACTCGTCTGGGGCTGCTAACAGCCGAGGCATATCAGTGAGTGGTACTCGCGAGAAAGTAAACGACCAAGATACTACTAACACAGGAGGCATATGCAGCCCAGGCACAGCCACGCGCCTGGCGTGTGAGAGCATCCTAGTAACATCACTAACACATGGACTACTCTTTCTAGTTATCCCTGGTATGCTTTTGTTTATTGCAAATGAAAAATAATAATACTAAAGCGAAGATAGAACAATATCTTACATGCAAATTTTAGGTAAATCTTCAAGAATCCCACCAATAAAAATTCATTCAAAAAAAATAATTGGCCAACGTACTGGTTGACAGTGCGAAAATGCGCAGTTTTTGTCATAGTTCCCCGCAGTTTTTGTCGCTACCGGCACCGATTTTTCCAGCAGATGCTCCTAGCGAAACAAATTAAGATTGGCCGCCAAAACTGTCAGAAAACACTCCTTTAAAATTCCAGCTTTCTAGCTTTCCTGGCTCCCGGGTTATCAACTTGCTCGAGAAGTTTCATGGACCCGCACGTGGGTACCACGTATACCCGGTTTCTGGGTTTGAGCTCATGAATACCCACTTGGATGGGAAACATCCCCTTAAAATTCCAGTCCTCTGGCTTCTCAAGTTGCCGAGTTAACGGCTTACCCATAAAAAACTTTCACGAGCCCGTCCGTGGGTACCACGCGAGTACTGGGCCCGTACGTACATGCAAATCAAATCCCCAAAGTTTCAGCTCTGTAGCTTTTGTAGGTCTTGAGATGAAAAACCGTAGCAGACGCACACACAGACACAGACGTACAGACATACAGACACACATACACAAAGACAACCCCTCGACAACATGCGTTTTCTGCATTGCACAGCTGCAAAAAAAAAAAAAAAAATGCATAAAAAGTAATTCGTATAACAAATATTGCTGAGAAATGATGCAGAGCGTGTAAAATAATAATGTTTGTCACAATCTGAAAAACGTTCAGGCCTTTAGGCCGTTTATTGCTACAAACTGTGATCATCGAGTCAAGCAAAAAATCCTGGAAAGTCATCCAGCAGCAAGTTGTTTTCCGTCTCCACTAGAGCTCCGAGTATAAGGTAAAACTGCGAAGAGTGCGGGGAGGGAAGTGCTGACGACAGTCGCTCCAGCAACGACTCCAAAGGAAGCCAGCAGGTCACGCTTCCCGACCACAGCTGCAGCCAGGCACGTGTCCACTCCCCGGGCCTAAAGCCAAAGCCTAACCTAAGTCACGCGAGCCGTTGCAACAGGCCTGTTGATGAGCACCAAAACAGGCCGAACAGAACTGGCTATACAAACTCCCCCTCCCCTGGCAGATGGGCCAATTCTGCTCTGTTGCTGCTGCTGTTGCCTTAGGGCAAAGCCCACCAGACAGGCCTAAAATGCACACACAGCAACTGGCCTCCCAACCACCGGCCTGGCAAATGCACGGGCCTGGCCAAATGCGGCGGCCGGCAGCACTCAGCCGATCGACTAGGCACAAACACACTCAAAAAAAGACCGCTCATATTGACGAGGGGTTGTCTGTGTGTGCGTCTGTACCGATTTTTCATCTCAAGACCTATAAAAGGTACAGGAGGGGGTGGCGGAGGAGAGGCGGATGGGGAGGGGGAGGAGGGGAGAGAACTGCTGCTCAATAAGCAGGCGCAATGCACAGCAAACAAGGCCTAGGCCTAGCAAGGAATGCCTGTGAAAGTGGTGGGGCCCTAACAGAGGCAGAAGAATATACGCGCAAACGAGCGCACATCTAAGAAAAGCTTTTGAGAAGCACAGAGAAGGCGGGGGAAATTAGGGATGAACGCGGATGGCCCCAAGTTCAGCCGAAATATCCTGGCCTAGCACTGCACGGGCTTGCACAGGCCCCCCAGCTGGTAAGCCAGACCTGCAGGGAGCCCTCCTAGTGGCTGCTCGCGATGCCCAATGAGAAGAAAAAGAGTCTGCGAAGTTTTTTTGCATGTGGCAATAGGCCCCCCATGGGAAAACGGGCCTGGAAATTGGGCCCGAAAGCAGCAGCAGCAACAGGATGCAGCCTGATCACTGCGACATTTACAAAAAACCTAGGAGCTGTAAAAACAAGATAATTGGCCAACGCACGGGCTGCCCGAGCGAAGATGCGTTTTTTGCATAGTTCCCCGCAGTTTCTGTCTCTATCTGCACCGGTTTTTCCAGCAAATGCTTCCGGCTAAACTAATTAAGACTGGCCGCCAGAACTGTCAGGAAACATCCCCTTAAAATTTCAGCTTTCTGGCTTTTCTGGTTCCCGAGTTAGCGGCTTACTCGCAAAAAACTTTCGCGGGCTCGTACGTGGGTACTACGCGGGTAAGAGCACCCATTTTGGGGATTGAGGCCCGTACGTGCATGTAGATTAAGTTCCCAAAGTTTCAGCCCTGTATCTTTTATAGGTCTTGAGATGCAAAATCGGTACAGACGCACACACAGACACGCCGAGACATAGACAACCCCTCGTCAATATGCGTTTTCTGCATTTGCATAGCTGCCAAAAAACGCATAAAAAACTAGTAGAAGCCCAATTACTCGTCGAATGCGAAAAACGAAGAATGAAGCAACGGACATGAACTCGGCGCCCTGGAATCGATAGCTGCTGATGCTGCTGCTTATCGCTGCAGCAACTGCTGATATGCTTCAACAGTAGCAGCAGCAGCAGCAATAACAACAACAGCAGTAACAACAACAACGACGAAGCAGAGCAGCAGCAGCAGTATCGACGGTAACTATGCGGAATAGTAAAGG